GATGTGGAAGGTTTGTCATCAATAAAGATGTAGTTGTTCAATTACTTTTAAATGAAGGTTTTTTCAAGATGTAAGCTATATTCCTAGGATCAAGCTTTTGCAAGATCGGGTTAAAAGGAAAATAGGCTTATCTTAACAATCCAACATTAATAAAGTTTTGACCAGGTTTGGTATGTATAACTCAAAGAATGAGTTCTTGCTTTATTAATATGGATTGCTCTCTCTAGTATGTAGTTTTCCAAGACTAGCAGAGGAGATTGAGCAAATGAGACTGGAACTATATGCTTTGGCATATGGGAGTCTCATATATGCCATGGTCTATACCAAACAGGACATCCGCTACATAGTAAGGATAGTCAGTAGATATCAGTCCAATTCTGGACTTGATAACTGGTCTATTGTGAAAAATATCATTAAGTACCTAAGGAGAACCAATGATATCATACTCATTTATGGATGTGATGATATGGTCCTAGTCAGGTATGCTAATTCTGATTTTCAATCAGAAGTAGATACTATGAGGTTCATGACTTAGTGTATGTTCACTTAATGAAAGGGAAATCAGTTGGTAGATTGTTAAGCAGATTTCAACTGCTGACTCAAACCTGCAGGTGGAATATATTGCAGCCTTAAAGGCGGCAAAGGAAGCCTATTGGTTTGATCTCACTGATTTAGAGGTTGTGGAGCATGCTAGCCTGCCTATCGAGCTATATTGCGACAATAGTGTAGAAGTAGTCCAAACCAATGACCCAAGGTTCTATAGAGGAACAAGATACACTGAGAGAAAGTATCATGTTCTACATGATATTGTCCGGCAAGAAAATGTACTTGTAGCTAGAACATTGCATTGGAACACAACTTTGTTGATCCATTATCAAAGGTGTCATTGATTAATAATTTTGATCATCATCTGGATAACATTGGAGTCAGGTGCAATTTGAATTGGCTATGAGGGCAAGTGGGAGCTGTTGGGATTTATATGCCCTAGCATAGCAAATTCCTGTTTGGATTAAAGTGACATATGTTCCTGACGTTTCTGAAATATTTATATTTTATACAATTGGTGAATTCAATGTATTATATTTCGATTCATTATAGAATTGATAGTGTCCATTTGATTACAAGAAATATTTATATATATGTATGTGATGGCAATCAATGCATGATATATAAATAGTAATCATAAATGGTTCATAGTCGGTAATTATGAATGGACTTATAATTAATTAAGATTTGAACTGGATCCGCGTTAGGTTGAGATATATTGCGAGAGCCGTCGTATGCAATTGCTCCCTATCATCGTCATAGCATTTGACTCTTAAGCATGAGAAAATTATAGACTCTTTTATTAATTAATAATTACTTTGATTTGTTAGGCGGATTTTTCGGGATCCTTAGACCGACACTTTGGGTAGTTATATAATTAATAGTTAGAGGGTTATATTTTCAATATTTGCATCATTATTACTTGTATTTATTTTGTATTGATTATGATTGATCACAAAGTAAATTCGAAGGCCTTCGTGTGTTTTTAGACAAAATGATTTATTATATATTTATTTATTTAAATTATTATTTTTGTCAAACAAATGTTTTATTGTGATCGAGCCAGAAATAATCAATGGTACCAAAATAAATATATTAATTAAGTAGTCGGATTGATGGCTTTATTTATCCAATAACTAATTAAGAATAGAGAGGTCAAAGTGCAATATTGACTTAGAGGTTATTTATTATTTAATTGGAGTTCAATTAATTTCTTTTAGTGGAGTAGAAATTAATTTATGAATTAATTGAATTAGGTCTATGGACCGGGCCAATTATTAATTCATTGTAGCCAATAAAATAAAAGGCCCAATGGATTCTCACTCATAGCCCAACTTGATATTGGAATCATATTAGATTTGAGACATATGAATTAGAGATTGAGAAGGATTTGTGGTTTCCTTTTCTTTATTTTTATGTTACCTATAAATATACATGGTCTATGTATATTTTGGGTGTGATTTTTGGAAAGAAGGAAAAAGGAATAAATTTTCTCTCTCTAGAAAATTAGGGTTTATGTTCTCATCTAATGGAGGCTCCCACAAGCCTAGTTTTCCAAGGTCATTCATGGAGGCATATGAGTGATTCCTAAAGGCAAAACAATTACCAAGAAGATGGAGATCCAAGGAGAATGCATCTTACTAAGGGATCTACAATAAGTGAGAACATTCACTTTAGAGGAGAGATCTAAGATTTACTCAAACCTTGATGTAAGTATTCAATCTTTTAATTGAATGATACATCATGTTTTATTTTTGCATAAAACTTGTCTCTATGTAATGAATCAAGATCTATGAATTTAAATCCCTCGAAAAGTTTTTAAAACTAGCACGTTTCCCTACACTATGATCCTATCTTCATCACCCATGCATGCCCTCATCTAAATACAATTCTCTACACTGATCAAAATCAGAAAGAAGACTCAACAAATCCATCCGAGCCATGTCTAGTGGCCAAGTTTTGCACAACTCCAGGTTCATGCAAAAATGAATGTAAAATGATGTTATTATGGTCCAATCAAAATTGACAATATTATGAGTGAATATGTTATAGGAACTAAATATTTTAGGTCATAGTTGAAGATATGATATCATCAGAGTATTTCTGTGCTGACAACGTTCTCAAAACCATACGTACGTCATGTCTTCTATAATATTTAATTTTTTTTAAGTCATTTTTAATTAGTTCATTCTAATTTAATTTTGATCTGCCTCACTAATCTTACATATCATATTAATTACATATAAAATATACTTGCTGTACAACTATTACGGTTCGCAGTATCGGTCACGGTCGTAGTATCGGTCACGGTGTAACGGACTCAGACAAAATCAATGTAAACTGGCCGATACAGATCACATATCGGATTTGAAAAAGGATCGCGTATAGGTCGATACGTCATGTATCGGATAGACTTGGGAGTAGTCTAACCCATCCCAGTTTTGGAAAATTCAAAACCTACAAATTTTAAGAAATGTTAAGTGCAGTCATGATTGCGCGAGCTCAATATTATTGGATGTGTGAAATTCACAAAATTCAACGAATGAACTTTCAGAGTTTCACAGTCACAACTATGCATGGCACAACTCGCCACTTTTGCCGGGACTTTATTTTTCCCCTCTTTTCTTTAAATAGCTCCATTGCCTCCAGACAACCCTCATTACTCTTATGCAATTTTCCAGCCAATGCCTATCACTCCCTCCACATACTTGCAGGCACTAACACATAAACACATTCATTCAATAACACCCTCATTTCTCTCCAACCAAAACATCATAAACATTGAAAATTTTGTTGCCAAAAATTGACACACAACACTGCATCATATTGCACCACTTATACAAACACAGTAGCACGGATCATGCACCACAACCATCCCAAACCCCACCAGCCATTAGGACACTGCATCATATTGCACCACTATAACAACTTCTTTTTGACATTCTTAGTATTTAAATCATATCACCAAGTAGCAAGGACGGAGCCAGAAATTGTGTAAGGGGGCGATAGTGTAATTTTCTAATAATTCTAGTGAGGACGGTAACGTAATTTTGTAGGTATATATATCAAAAATGTAAATTAATAGGGTATAAAAAATAAGATTTGCAAGAAAAAGATAACTAATTATTTTTTGAATACCAGTAATTCCAACGCCAATTTTTATGATCTTAACATTATTTTCTTTCTTGTCTCGAAAGAAAATTTTAAATTCAAGAATTTATATTTTCTCAAATCAAATGAATATGGTGGATTCAAAATTACTATGTAGTTACAAGTAAGAAGAGTACTACACCATCAAAAGATGCATGACATAATTAAGTAACAAATACCATCTAATTCTAACAAATTCTATTTAACATCTAATTCATTGTATTACTACCTTTATATTTATATAAAATGATCCATATAAAAATTGGTGAGAGTGAATGTCAAATAAATAAATAAATAAAATTTATAAGTAGGCTCAATTTTTTTTAAAATAGTTACACACGTACCAAAAAAAAATAGAAAAAAGACAAAGAACGAAAGACAAGTGGGTGTCAATCAACTGCCTAAGTGGCATAAGGCTCGAGTTAACACTGTTTCTCTATTTGACGAATTCGTAATAACTTTATGCAAAACTATATTGCGCGCGCGCACGGAAATATCCATATGTATGGAAGAACCAAAATAGTATAATCCTGAAATCCACCCAAATAAGCATATGCAACATAGACGAAAGGAAGCACATCCGTGACACTTGCACTCAGAAAATATGGATTTTTTTTATTGGTTGGTTTCACCTAAAATTCTCTGTTTTGTTTTTATTATAAAAAAAATAACAACTAGCATTTTTAAAGAGTTCAATTATCATCATTGATTAGAAGAAAAAAAAAAGGAAAAAAGAAATCAAACACAACATTATAGTCATTAGCCCACTTATGGTAAAAGTGTTGAAATGACCTTTTAGGAATTAAAGATTTAATTTTATTATTATGATCCACTAAAGAAGAAAGTTTTCTACCATTACAGACAACACAATGTGCATGTGTTGGGATTGTCCTTAAATAACATTGTTTCCTTAGTACATTCGAATTCTTAAATTGGTGTGAAACCCGATATGGTAACATATTTAAGACCTTTTTAATTAGTCTCACTAGGTACAGAAGTGACATTCCAATGTAGATTAATGATATAAATCATTACATATATTTTTTCAAGAAGTATCTTAAATGTAAAATTTTCTTACGAGTCATATCATTTTCTACTCAAGCATGTCAACAATAAACAACATTGTTTTACGTCAATAGTAAAAAGTAAAAAGTGATTGTTATTCACTGTAATGACGTGGAGGTTCTTGGGCTTTTAATTGAGCCCAATCCCAACCCAGTATATGTGTATGTGTATGTGTGTGTTGTGCGTGTATACAAATATATATATATATACACACACGGCATTTCATGTATGATGGCCCTAGTCAAAGTTTAAGTTGAGCAGCTTTGCGCAGAAAAGACTTTTTATTCAAATAAAGCCTCCAACTAGGAAGCTCGTGCTGTATCAACGCTTATAGATGCTTCTATATGTAACTGTATATAGATATTTTACATATATATATATACATATATAATTGAATTATATACAGACATATATAACGATAAACTATATAACGGAATCAAAGACATTTCACCAGATATATCGTCGCCGTAAAATTATTTTATCAGGGTTCGGTGATTCTTCCTCCTCCTCTAAGGTACCACATACCTCCTGCTCTCGTCTCTCTCTCTCTATAGAACTTTCTCTCTCTAAAATTGAATCGAATTCAAGGTTATGCTGATTGTAGATCTGTGTGATCGTTTGATATTGTTGTTCAATCGAATATTTCTTAGTATTACTCTGATTTTGTATTTTTATTATATAATCAAACTAATTGATGCTCTTGTTGCTGTTGTTTGATAACGAATTCGCTTGAGGTTTCGGTTGTAATTCATGTGTGATGTCTAAAAATTTAGAGCAGGTAGTAACTCTGTAGCACCTTTAATCTTTTGATCTAGGGTTTTTTATTTTGTTTTTGAGTTTTTCTTTTTCTGATAATTCAGATCGATGATGAGAGATTGTATTTTTATTTTTATTTTTCATCTATTTTTTTATGTCTATTTCTTTGAATAGATTTTTGTTTATTTTACTTTTTTGTGTAAAGTTAAAACAGAAAATAAAGAAATTGTAGAATCCTGACATTTATTTGCAGTACTTAGACTTGATATTGGTAGAGAACTGCAGTTTATAGACTCTTATATTATTCAAGTTGACTTAGTATTGATTTTTGTGTAATTGGGTGTCAAAACAGATGGGGAGGGGAGGGAAGCTTGAGAACAAGCAAAGTACCAAGAGAAGGGTTCGGTTGAAAGATAAGGGTTCAGATGAGTCGGATGAGGATTACACAGTGGGAGATGATGAAGTATGCGATGAATCAGATGCATACTGCTCTTCTTTTGTTGCAGATGAATCAGAAGAAAGTTTAGGTGAATTTGAAGAGGAAGAGGAGGAGGAAGTGAGGATGGTTGTTAAACCGAAAAGGCAAAAGGGGTTTACTGGTATTAAATCGAAAAGGCAAAAGGGGTTTTCTGGTAAGAAGAAGAATGGGGTTGAAAAGACTTTCAGGGAAAAAAGGGTTTCATATGATGAGGAAGAAGAAGATGATGATGATGATGATGAGGAATTTGTGCCAGATGAGATTGATTGTGTAGATGATGAAGATGAACTGGCTGTGGAGAAGAAGCATAAGAAAGTAGGCAGGCCCCCTTTGCGGGAAAAGGGTTTTGTCGAAGGACGGAAGAGGAAGAGGGAGAGGAATCCTAAGTTTACAAAAAAGAAACTGAGAAAGAATAGTGGCCTAGGGAGGAAATCTACTGTTGGTAGTGATGGGGAGTCCACAGAAAAAATACCAGTTGTGAAAGGAAGGAGTAAGAAAAATTTCAGGCCGGGAAGGAGAAGACTGATAGTACATTCTGATTCGGATTTTGTGAGTTCTGGATCATCTGATTTCGAGTACACCATCTCTGAGGAAGAGAGAGAACAGATGAGAGAGGCCAATGAATTTTGCAGAAGTTTGCCCTCTAGTTTGAGGAGTTCATCTTCATCAAAAAGAATACAGGAAGAAGACGTCTTGAGTCAGCAAAGAAAACGTCCAGGAAGAAAGGGCAAGGAGAAGATAGATGATTTGAAAAATGAATTAGGAAAGCAGGTTTGTGGGGGCAAGGAGAAGGTAGATGATTTGAAAAATGAATTAGGAAAGCAGGTTTGTGGGATTTGTCTGTCGGAAGAAGGGAAGAAGACAGTCCAAGGAACATTAAATTGTTGCAGTCATTATTTTTGTTTTACTTGCATCATGGAGTGGTCAAAGGTGGAATCTCGTTGCCCTCTCTGCAAGCATAGATTCATGACAATTAGTAAGCCTGCAAAATCAAACACAGGATTTGATTTGAGAACCATGGTGATACAGGTTCCTGAGCGTGATCAGGTATTTGATTGGTACCATTTTTTCTAAGATCCTGGAAGTAGAAACCGGCTTTTTGAGTCACACACACACACACATATAATTTTATTGTTCCTTTTCTTTGTTTCATTTTTATTATTTTGTTCTTGCTCCTGATTTGCAATTTCTTTTCCATTTTTTTTTCTTTGGTTCACTGTACAGGTTTATCAACCATCTGATGAAGAACTTAGGGGTTATCTTGATCCATATGAAAATGTGATTTGTACTGAATGCCAGCAAGGTGGGGATGATGCTCTCATGTTACTCTGTGATCTCTGTGATTCACCTGCTCACACATTCTGTGTTGGGCTCGGACGGGAAGTACCCGAAGGTAACTGGTATTGTGACGGCTGCAGACCAACTGCTATTGGTTCTTCTACTCCACAAACTCCAAACCCTACACCTGGCCAAAGAATGAGTATCAACTTGTCTATTGGATCATCTCCTGTTGACAATGTTGGGGAAGGATTAGACCACACTCCAATGTATGTACCTGATACACCATTGACTCAAGGAACTGGGTTGTTTTCATCTCCTTGGCGTCCTGTTGGGGGTTCTCAAGCTGCTTCCACAGTATCTGGTTTGGGGGCAGCTACATTATCGGATAGACGCAGGCTACAGCGTCATATACATCATCTACGCAATAACATAATGAGCCCAAATTCTGCTACAATTAATGGGATATCAGCTAGACATATGGGGAATAACCTTTTTGGTTCTCAGATTGATCAGGGTAGGGAAATAGCTTTCTTACACGGAATAACATCGGGAAATGTAGCACTCAACCATGGTCTTTTTGACGGAAGGTTACAGGACAATCCCAGGCATTTAGTGCATACTAGGGATCTTTTGCCTGCAGGATTTAGCCATGTGAGTGGGCAAGTAATGCAAGGTCCAACTTCTACAAATACTGATGGTTCTGTCAATGGGATGTTACGAGCTGAATTTCCTGGGATCAATATAGGGTTAAATTCAAGATCTGGTTATGACCAACTCCATCCATGTAGTAGCAGGTCAGGCATGGGGACTGATGCCAGTGTGTCCCCTTATATGTTTAGAGAGGTAAGCCTTTTCAACATAAAAAGGAACAAGGTGCAATTTTTTCGATGGAAGTAATTTAAAATGCTTGTCTAAAGTTACGGATTTAGTTATTTGAACTTTCAGTTTATTATCTTAAATTGCATGTAGCATTCTGTGCTTTAATAATAAATGACATTATATAATAAAAACTTGTGAGCTATAGTTGTATGGGCAAGGGAAGTTGTGGAGGCAGGTTTTTCAGTTATGGAAGATCAAATCCTCGGTTCTCATTTTATAAATCAACTCATGCTGTTAAACATGGTGTTTAGGATTTTAATATGATTTTAACTATAATTTTTTTTTTTTTTTTTTTTTTTCTATTGGTTTGGGGGGAGGGAAGATGTTTTAGTATGTGGTAGTATTTGGGTCTCCAATCATGGCAGCCTCTCGGGATGCACCCATAGTATATAGCAATAGGGTGTTTGGTTCAATTTCTAAATACTATTTTGAGATTAAAAAATAAATAAATAATAATAATGAATGGAAGGTAGAAAAACTGTTTGGTTCATTGTTCCTAGAAAATGTTCAAAAAATTGAATTTTGTTCAGGTACCATCAAAACAGTGTCTTCTTTTCTGTTTTTGGTTAAAATCAGTAAAAATATTTATAATCTCAAAAAAAAATTCACTATTATCAAAGACAATGCTCTCTCTCTCTCTCTCTCTCTCTCTCTCTCTCTATTTATTAGTAGTACTTGAAGTGTTTATAAATTTTGTCATAGATTTGTTGATATCCGTCATTTAAGTTACTGTAAATGCTGAAACTGCCTCATGTTTCGTGATGCAGGCTCCGGTACCTTCAAGGACACTGCAAGGACGTTTTCATACACCATTTTAGCTCCACATAACCTGGAGCATCATGGGGACTGGGGAGCAAGGTTGACCCTGTGCAGCCACCATTGATCCATATATAACCGCATTGAACAAAGGGCAGTTGGGCAGACAAGTCTGATGAAAGGGCACTGCTCATCTTGTCTCTATTTATTCGTGGGGATGTAATGCACAAGATCATGAACACGAGAACACCTCCACAATTTGGGGGTTAGTGATCAATGCAGTAAGTGGGATGGCTTACCATTTTTTTTTTCTCTCCATTGATACTACATTGGACGCTTCCTTTTCTGTTAGGAAGTACAACTATTCTTGTTAAATTGTTTATATAGATGAAAGACCAACATTGAAACATCAAAGGGCTTTGTTGTTGTTTTATCAGTTTGACAGTGAAGTCATTTTGTAGACAGACTATGTACAAGTTGTGCTCTCACTATTAGTTCTTATTGATGGATAAATCACTTTCAGTAGAAAATCCCCAGTGGGCTTTAATGTTAGACTGTTAGGGGGGTCGCAAACCCAGTGCACGAAGCTCCTGTCATAGTGGGGTCTGAGAAAGGTCAGATGTACACAGTTTTTCCTTCACGTTTCTATTTCAAATCCGTAACTTTCAGGTCAAAATAGAGCGACCTTACCATTGCACAAGGGCTTACCCTACATTTCTATGTTACTATTAAGTTGCTGTCAACTTGCTCAGTGAAAAAATCTCACATTGACACCAAAAGGGCTTTGGTGTTGTTTTATCAGTTTATCTGTTACTATCAGTTTGTCATGGCACAAAGTTAGGGTCGTGTGTTCATCACGTGGTGGAAAAGCAAGCTTTGTTTGTCCTTTTGAAGTCAAGTTCAGCACCTGAATGAAAGGGTTAAAATATTGCATGGTTCAAGGTATGAAGAGATAATGAGAAAACCCCCATTTGTAGGGCCATTCTGAATGACCATGGCCCCCAGTATGATGGGTGTTTCATCATTCTACATTCTTTTTAATCCTTTATGTGTGTAAGCAGTTGGAGTCTGTCCAAAAATTTGAGCTCATTATATAGTTTTTTACTCTCATGTTCACATAAAAAGCATTTGAAGCTTGTTTTGGCCGTAGTACAATCTGGCACCTGTCCAGATGCCCTTATGTGTCAAACATTGATTGTGCTTTTGTTTGCCAGAGTTTTGGTTCGTGTTGAGTAGAGCTCACTGCCTCATTTTATGATATTTGGAAATTAGTATATCATCAGGGTGAGGTCCCACCCGAAGTGGGATGCAGAGCAGTACAACAAAGGTTGCATCAAACGGCGCACAAGTATCACATAGATGCGTCTTCACATGTGATTCTTGTAGGTAATTTAAAGCAGTATAGCACCTATGCTGTACTATAAAGGGGTCAGGCTATTGGATTGATTGAAAAATTCTACAATACTTCACTTATCCTATTCATTATTCATTAAGTGGGTCTCGTCACTATATTTAACGGCTGAAAGATCCAGGTCATGGTATCCTATGATATTTTAGAATTTTTGAAGGCCAATGAAAGTGTTTGCTAGCTGTTTTCTTTTATGATGAGAGCACTTTATTGGATCCACTAAATGATGTCAATATTGAGAGCGCCAATTCATTTATTTTATTTTATTTTGTTTTTTTTGAAAGGTTTAAGTAAATTACACAAATCATATTTTCTTTATTGAGGCTCGAACTCCCAACATTTCCTTTGGGGAAGAAAGGCTTGTACCAGCTCGAACTCCCGACATTCCTCAAAAAGGCTTATACCAACTGGACTATTGCTCATTTGGTGAGACCTCACCATAGACTTGCTCGACATAAACTGTTTGAAATCTCTTTCAACCAAACATGTAGGCTTGGCTACTTATGACTAATTTATTGGTTAGCGGGTAGATCATAGCGCAGTTGGTGACACTTCCATAACAAACACTTCAAGATCTAGCTTTGCAATAATGCAAAGAGAGGGAAAAAGCAAAATGATATTCCATATAATCTTCAAAAACATGGTGTACATGCGTTTCTGAACTCTCACCACAAAATTTGCAAGAATTTTAAAAGTGTTTCAAATTCAAAAGGTAAAACAGAATAAAATGATTCCAAACACCCCCAAAAAGAACCATACATGTGCACACAACCATACTTCATCTTACCACTAGAAAAAGAAGAACCGGATAAAAAATATATATATATTTTTATCAGACCCCAACTCAGAAGTTGCTGCCCTGTTCAAAGGCTTTTTCAGGGATCCTTCACCAGAGAAAAATAGCAGATACTCGTTATCCACGCAAACGTGCAAATGTGGTCCTATCCATGAAGGCATGTTTAAGGAGAAACTCAATTCAGATAAAAGTTGTGAAGAGGCTGCAATATTGGAAATAGTTTATTATCTACTACTTTTTAAATTAAGCATGAACTGAATATACAATCGGTTAGGCAATAACTACTAAATTCCACATGCAAGAAAAATTACATTTATTATAACTTATTTCAACTGCTTTAATACATAGGCATAGCCACTACAAACAAACACTGATCGGGAGGCTAGTAGCCGGAAATTGACGTCCACAAAGGCAGCATCCACAATATCCGTTCTTCATAAGTTATCATCACCTAGAATGGTGGACAACAGCAGCCCATGGACAAACTCACTTCTCTTTGCCTTCTCCTCCTGATCTTTGATCGAAAAGGGAGATGACTGGGTGGTTCTGTAAACAGAAGGTATTATTATATTCAGGAAAACCAAGTAAATTGAGAACATTTAATACACAACATCCAACAAGCTGTAGAAAAACTATAATCCATCGAGGCACAACTAAACCAGCCAAGATATATTAATCTCAGAACAGAAAGGATAAAATTGCCTTTTAAAGAATAAAAACATATAATTAAAGCCGGGGGTAATTGGACAGTTTGCAAAAGCAGAAATGAATACTTGACGCCCCCACCGGTTTTTCCATAACATCTACTATTTACTATTTGATGACTATTTTTATCCTCGAGAGAGTTGCTTTCCCTTGGCAACAACCACTACTGAAATTTTTAATCACAAACAAACGTTAATGAAGCTGGGAGTTTAACCCAACCTAACAGACACAAACTAGAGAGGTGATGTAGAAATATAGCCATAATAGATTCTTCCTTCCCATTTGGTTCCTAAACCTCCAACACAGCCTTCATCCACTAATTTGGCATTCAGCGAGTGCAAGAACTGAACTTGATATATTCGTTAGAATCTTTACTGATTGGTAGTTGTGACAGTGTCTATATATTTAAGCTCTTTCCTATGCAACAGTTATAAGCGGGTTTCTTGCACCTAGAGGCCCACTAATGAGCTGGGAGTTTAACATAGCCTAATAAAGAGGTGGGAAAAAATGTAAAAGATTCCCTTTCATTTGGCTTCTATACGTCCAACGCCGCCTTCACCCATGAAACTAATTTTGGCATTCAATAAGTGCAAGAAATGAACTTGATATATTCTTTAGAATCTTTACCGTTTGCTACCTGTGTCGTTGCCTATATATTTAAGCTATTTACTATGAAACAACCGGTTTCTTGCACCCAAAAGCACCCCATCCAACCCCCCTTCTAGTGTTCCTTTTTGCGTCTTCAAGTCTAACTGAGTTATAATGATGATAAGAAATAATTAACTCAGTTGCCTGGTATTATTGCAGCAAGTAGCAACATGTTTGCATTTGCCAATGAAATTTTCCCTGACAATTAGCAGTAATTCAGGATGAACAATCTGATGAAAAACCTGAGACATGGCTGAGGAGAAAGAGGTCCGGAGGGACTTTTTAGAGGCTCGTCCCTGTAACAAAGTATATGAGTTTCAGTTTACTGTTCAGGACCTGTGCAATAAACACTTACTCCAATAATCCCTCATTCCCTTGCTTCTCAATACCCCGTGTAGACTGTAAAACTGCAGACGTACACCACCTAAAGAACATGCATACGAGTTTCAGTTTACTGTTCAGGACATGTGCAATAAACACTAACTCCAATAATCCCTCATTCCCTTGCTTCTCAATACCCCGTGTAGACTGTAAAACTGCAGACGTACACCACCTAAAGAACATGCAAAAACTGCAGACGTACATCACCTACAAACTTGAAATCTATAGACATCTTCTGATAATATGATACAACTAATTTCCATGACCTAGTTCCTTAAGGCCCCAGATGATAACAGTTGGTTCTGTTACTGGTCCCGAAACAGTTCAACAGTCAAGGCACCTCATAGAAGTCAAATTCAAGTAGGTTCAGAAAACATTCCCTTTTCAACTCTCATGTTCTGTTGACGGCACCATAAAATATTTTCTTTATTCCAACTAGATATTACTTTAGGAGGACAAAATTAGACCACTTCACCTTCATATTCACATAGCAGTCAATAGGATAACCCTTTCTTCAATGGCCTGAATCCATATAAACATTCGTAACTCAACTGCAAAAGGCCTCTCCTCAACTTATTAAAGTCAGCTACACGAAATTGTATGTGCATACACTTTACTAAGGGGAGTTTTTTTCTGCATGGTCAACACCTTTCAGCAATCAACCTTCTTGGGATTTTCTCATCCTCGTTGCAACCCTTCTACATGAAGCGTATCAATCCTTGTAAAATCATTTGTTTTCGTTGCTTTTTCCAAATAGGGAGGCAAATAATGACCAAATTATTCTCAAGCAGCTCACCTCAGCTTGTTTGATCTCCTTTTTTATTTAGATAAGACAAGCTTGAATTTGGCTTGAAACTAGGTCATTCTACTAGCTGAACTCAAAATCCCCAAGGCTCAGTTATGTTGGTTCACATAAAAACAAACAGTTAAATTTTACATGGGTTTTTGACAGCTGATCAAATACCTGAAGCCTATGAGCCACCTCATTGACAATCTTGAACCAATCAGGCCTTTGCATATTTTCAAGCCAAATGAACATACAAACATCTAACACCACTTAACTTATTCACAAAAGTAAAGCAACCTTCAATTTCTTTCACGCTGGTTCCCATAAATTCAATGACCCCTCATATTGTGTTTAGTAGGGATCCTCACCGACGTAAAGGTTTGGCAGGTAGAACCCTATTCACTAATTTTTGTAGACCCCAACTCCTGATTTATTTAATAAAAATGGATGTCAGGACCTGAAGCCCTCCATAGTAATTAATTGAGCATTCACAAGCCCTGTGAGACTAAAGCCTCTCATAAAGTTTCTCTTCATAGGCAAATGTGAATATGATGAAATATATGCTAAAAGCACTCAACACAATTCATCCGCGATAAATTTTTTGGGTAAAGTGGAAAACATCCACTCAATCACCCCCTCCTTGGGATCCATCAATGGAGAAACAGTTTAATTTAATTCAATTCAATGATTATAAATCCTGAGAGTTGATTTTTTTTTTTTTTTTATGTTGGGGGGGGGGGATATTTTTAAATTTCTCCACCATACACAGTTTCATACTATAGCTCATAAATATGGTTACACAATAATTGGTAGACTTTTAACTCTCTTTTTTTAATCATCATACAAGAAAACAAGAATGCTTGTTCTTGGAGAAACTTAGTTTAGCCATGATAGAATGAAACCAGACATGCATAGGCATACAAGGCCATGATTGAACACACAAACCCTGGGTAGGATATTCCGATGGCGAACAAATAAATTTTAGTTGTGCTTATTTATTCACCAATTTACTATTAAACTCATAAGATTAACCCAATTTGTGTGTTTTGAAATATTAACATAAGATTACTTGCTAAAACAATATACATATTCAAATCTGCGTGTGATGGATTATAAAAGAAAATGGCGTTAGTATTTTACTGAGCTAATTGCCCAAAGGATATATATTTAGATTAACTCAAATCGTCTAATGTGCTCAACTCACGTACTCATAAGCTTATTGGGCGTCTTCTGCCAATGGAAGACAAATATGATGTTTACTAATCGGAGGGCATTATGGTTACTTTGCCAGGTTAATTATTGCAACTTTTGATATTTAATTAATAGTCCATTTCGACTTATCAAAAAATAAAATTAAAAATAAAATAATAGCACATTTCAATTAGCTTTGTATAATATTTGGCATGAGTTTGTTATTCATGTGTAACCACTTTAAATTACATTAGACTGTTTTGTGAGCATGGCTCTATTTTGATTTTGTTAGAGTTGTAAATTTTGCCACACTCGTTAATCGAAAGTTTCTAATTCAAACTTGAATACGTAGAACTTTAAAAATTAGAAATTAATATAAAACCTTGAAATGGTTCTTATGTGTTTGGAACTAGATGTAGCACTAAGGCGCCTTTCAACATCCTAACTCCACTGAGTCTGGTAGAATCCTAAGTACAAGAGTAAGTTCTAGGGATTGCGTATTGCAAATCAAGACAGGGCATTTGAGTAGTGCAAAGTCATGCTTTTTCCAATCTGATTGCAAATCAAGACAGGTATGTCAGCAGCGCTAAGTCATGTTTTTTCCGATCAGTTTTGGGCTAAACTCTTTTGCTCAACATTTTTTAGGCCTCAATAGTATCCCTAGAACTCTAAAAATGCTAAATGGAAACTGAATTGGCTAATTGCCAAATTCATTAAAAAGGAGGATGACTTTGTAAGGAAAAATTTGCATGCATCATCTGATTAGCTTGAAGCGGGAAATAAAAAAATTTAAAGGATTGCAAACTGAATAGGAAAAAGAAAAGCTGCACACAGAGGATTCGGGCTATAGTTCAGCGGCCACAATTTTATTAAGAAAAGTCAGGCATCAAAAAATAATGTGCTTTGCTAATTATTTCCATGTAAGCAAGGACCACATTTTTTGGAAAGTGTAAGCAAAGACCAGATGAAGAGATATTTTGCTATATATTCAGCATACTTGACGAAAGAAGGTTCTGTATGGTTTATTATTTTAGTGAAGTGTTGCCTGGTTCTTGGTGGGTAGATAATGGTGCACCAACTCATATTCAATAATTTACTCATATAATTAATTTCCTTGCAAGAACATCAAAGCATTCATAGACTAAGGTGTTGGTAACTCAATTTAACACTTAATTCTGAGTAAATTTAGTGCTTATTTAATTAAGTTCTGATACGTAATTTTGATACCAATTACAAGAATAAGTTCCTCTAAAATTTTAAGTGAATAAGACTTCACTTATCATTGAGCACTGAATAAAATTCAAACAATATTTATTAAAAAAAAAATCTTAATTAATTATTAGCACTTAAAATCAGCTCTTAAAACTTCCAGTACTTAATTTTCTGTTTTCAACAGCACCTAAGCGCACAGAAGATGGTATAAATGGCAAACGGGGATGCAAATGAGCTCAAAGCCTAGGAAGTCCCAGCATTTATTTTGAAGAAAAATCATTCCTAGATCTTGTAGGCACCATCCAAGCACCTTTTGCAGTAAATACACCTTTTTGTTTTTACCTAAGCCAGATGCTTAAGCTTATAATTTATATCTTAAAAATGGATCATGTGACTTGATGTTCAGTTCTTTGTGGCTACTAGTGTGTGTGTGTGTGTTTTTTTTTTTTTTTTTTTTTTTTTTTTTTTTTTTTTTTTTCTCAAGTTGATACTAGTTTTGCATGCAATAAGTTAAATACAGTTCCTGATAAAAACCCAATGCTTATTTCTTTAACTTGTAAAGAAATAAAAGGTGGATGTCATATCTTCAACATTTTGGCAGCAATTTTGGATCCTTTAGATCGTTCCCGTTTTGGTGTCTGCATTAATCACTCAAAGGCAAGTATGTCTTCATGTTTTGTTGTAATATCACGAATCCTGCCATCCTACTCAAGTTTGTAGTATGCATTGATTTTTCTGTCTGAATTTAATAAATCTTTAGTTTCTTATACTCATTAATGTTGCCACATGTATTTGAACTTGAACCATGAATGACATGGTGTACATATGGGATCCACGATCTCATCATAAAATATATATATTATGAAATATTAAAATGGCAATCTTTGTTGAACTGGCACACATTAAGCCAGCCCAACTACCTACTCAAGCATGAGTATTCGGAGTAACATGGACCCATAAAATTGAGCTAGAATGAGCTTGGGTGAGGCAGGGGTGGAATTCTACAGGGGTTCAGCTTGGTTAACCTTCAATACCAAACAACATATCCAAGCTGCACTCACACTAAACACAATACTGTAAATTTGAAGTCCGCCATGGTTTCAAAACTGTGTACTAAAACACAAGTCACTAGAATATTAGTGAATTCTAATCCTGATAGGAATGAATCAGATAAAAACATTAAACTTAGCATACCCTACATAAAGTTAGGTAGTTGATGTACCATCACCCATTCCTCGTATTTTCTCCTAAATATCTATACGTTTCTCATGAAGAAGAGAACTGATCAAAGAAACTGGAAAACATTTTTGAGATCGCTAAATTTAGTATTGTGAAGAAAGTCTTCCATGTTTTGGATGTGCACTCCAATACTCATAAATTTCTAGTATTAGTGTTCTCGGGAAACTTTAATCCGGTTGATTTTGGATGGGTTTCATCCATCACCAACAAATGGCGCTTATGATTGGCAGAATCAGAACCAACCTGAATTCAAACCACTATGAGCCAACCCATTTCCACCAGCACTTGTCTTTATCAAGAGTGGTATTCAGTATTGAGTTATATGGAACTGTATGCAGGAAAAAAGGGAAAAGAGTATAACTAGATTAAGCAGCCTAACTTGCAGTTTTAGTCATAACAAAGGTTGCAATCTCAGTTTAAGGTTGTCAGGGGGATTGATCTGTGGACATAAAATCCATTACCAAAATCTTAAGTTCTTTCTTTTCTCTAGCATATCCCTTAGACTAATGACTCAACCTCAATTCTCCATAATTTAAAGTTCAAATCTCCTTCAGTGAATATTCTGACACCTAAAGACAGTTAGCTGCATGCGTCAAACTTATTTTGGTTTTAAGTCCATGTCAGCAGTAAATGCTATCTACTTTTGAACTTTTCAAAATTTCTCATCGTTAGTCCTGCAATTAAAATTGGAAAATAATATATGTACAATAAAATATAGTTGGGGTGGCCAAATTTCCATTGAATGTGCAACAAAATATGATGTGATGTCCTATCATGACTACTGTGATCTTCAATACAATATTTAAGGCTTAAAATTGTTTTTCTTTTTCTTTCCTTTTTTTTTTTATCTAAATCCCGTTCTAAGGTAAGTCAAACTTCGAAACAGTCAGGTTCTAGAACAACATATAAGGAGGAAAGAGGCCAAGGTTCGGAATTGTTTTTGAGATATTTGCTAAATCCATGTGTTATGATTGACTGTAACAGCCATCACAGCATCAAAACAGATGGTGATCGCCGTTAAAGTATTTATTTATTGTAGTTTTTGCAAATGCATCTGTGATTACCGATACAGAGCCAACTGATACCATTATGAAATAGTATAAGCCAATTTCAGAACCATGGATCAGAACATACTCGGCTTCCATTTAACAGAACTAGCTACTAGACCATAATATTTCATGAATGGGTGAGAACATGACGTAAACTATCCGGTTTTCCAGTATACAATTAACTAGACAGCATAAAGTACCACATTTGACAAACAAGGAAGTGAAAATGCTCCCATACCTTTCTGAAACATTCTCATTTGAACTTTTCTTGACTGAGCTTGTTTCAGCTGAAGACTGAGGCTGAACGCTTCCAAAATCATCACCCATAGGCAAAATAAATGATGACAACAATGGATCAGGCGCCACGTTGGTTGAAGAAACTATACAGGAAGACCCTCCAAAGAGGGACTGCAAATTCCCTTCTCGCAGTTCCCTCCTCAACAAAGAGAGCGTTGAATGGGATCCACCTTTACGGGATTTCCTTTTGCGCTGCATGTAACTCTCTAGTCAAGGACTTCAGAGAATACAGTCAAATCCTTAGATGAACAAGCGCTGATGTGCATATGATCATCACATATGTTTGTGTGTGTGTGTGTGTGTGTGTGTGTGTGTGAATGATGGTATAAAAAAAATGACAATATGAAAAACAATGGGACTCAATTGAACAAAATAGTCGTTGACTGTTACATACATGTAAAAAAAATGCAGTGAAAATTTCCTAGGGGAGGAAAAGAACAGAAGAAATTGGATGGATATATGGATACGAGCACAACAGAGAGAGACACGATTCTGCAAATCATTTCAGAATTTTCAGTGTGAAGATGTGACTTACACACAAACGACAAAAAGAAAAGTTTTTAGTCATATAACATAGTGAGATTCCATGGTCCAGTGTGAGAACTATTTATTAAATTGAAAATAAAAACAAATTTAATCCAAGACCAGTGCAATAATCCAAAGCCGAAAATTTAAAAATACCAACTAAAAGGATATCTTGAAAATATTTCCATGTTGCAGTGTTATATGGGCAACCATGTCGATCCCCACTCTCATTGAACAAACTGGACATACCTGCAAAGAAAAAACTTGAATTTAGCTAGGTAGCTTTGGAAAACCACACCTTCCTAGTCAAAAAAACAAAAAACTTGAAATTAATATATATATATTTCTTGTATCAGCTAGAAACCACAGGCCAATCATAACCCTAAATCACACGGGTACTGTTTCATCTTAAATCAGTCCAACTGGCTTCAATCCCACAATCAACATCACAATATATTAGAAATAAAGCTACCCAAAAATAAACTGAAACACTCATGAACACAAATAACTAAGTCTACTCAGCTATTAAAAAACAGAAAGATACATCCAATTGATACCTAGAAAAATCAAAACAATGATTGTCAAAAAAACATTTTAACAAGTACATGGAACATAAATAACTTGTGAAACCAGCTAACCACTCTACTCAACTAGTAAAAAGGAAATATGCAGCATCCCATGGATACCCAGAAAAGTCAAAACAGTAAGTGTCACAAAAACATTCTAACAAGTACATGGATTAAACCTGACCACCTACTCACCCCAAACATACACATACAAACACATACACATAGAGCATATCAAGAAAAACCTAAACTTTGTAAAATTGCATCATGTAACATGTATAAAATGAACATCAATCAACAGAACAGAGAGTAATACTCCATTCTTTGCCTCTACAGGATGCTCATCATCGATATGACAACACAATCCGACGATATCAAAATAATCCGAACAGAACGGGCAAGGAAACTCCTCCCTAATATCATCATCTCCATCAAACTCTTCAAACGCCATAAACATATCTACAAAATTCAAAACCTCACTACGATTAGATCGACCAAGTACAATCATGTCTATGCATATCAATAAAGGAATAATTTGGAGCTCACCAGATCGAGATTGAAGAGCTGACTGATAACGCTTTGAGGCGGAAGATAGACGAGCACTCCACGAATCAGCGTCCATGACTTTGTCTACTCGATCGAAAGTTTCAGAGAAGCTTCGAAATCGAAGTGCTTTAGAGTGACAATCGATTAGGGTTTCGATAGATGGATTAAATGTTTGATTCAGAAGAAACAAATTGAAAGAGAGAAATAATGTAAAGAGAGGATGTCTGGATTCTAGAGAGAGAAAATGGGGATTGGATAGGTTTGATTCGTGAGGAGTGAGAGAGCTGAAATGTGAGATAGAGGAATAGCTAGCTGGCTGTGTTGTTTGTACACACTTTGTAGTCGCTATTTTTTTCTTGAATAATTTTACTGACCATTCCAAATATCAGTTTAAAAAAACCTTTGGAAAATAATTATTACTCATATTATAAACGTTTGTTCCGTTTTTTATTCATATCCCAAAAATTAATTTACTTTTTACATGTAAAAAGATATTTTTACCCTTTGACTTTAGTTTGACCCTGACTTTGGTATACCTTCATTTTTTTTATTTATTTTTTTACAAAATATCAGTATTAAAAGACAATATGGCCCCTTAAAAATTTATAAATTTACAAATTATATTATATATACAGGCAGACATATATATACTCCTATATACACACACAGACATATATATATATATATATATATATATATATATACACACACACACACAAGCACAACACCACCACCAAATACAGCGGCGAAGTCGTCATCAAATCCGACAACAACCGCTCATTCGCCGTCAAAGTCGACTCTCCCACCTTCCAAACCGATGTCTCCCTCGCCGCGACCTCATCTGCAAGGTAGCTCAGATCCTCCAATCCTCATCATCAAACCTTTTCCTCGACCTCTTCAACTACCTCCAAGACCCGGATCTGTCTCATCGGATCTCCAAGACCCAGTCATCTCCCTCTTCGCAGAGCTCGTCTCCGCTGGATCTGCCGCCATCGGATCTGTCTCGCCGGCGCCATCAACATTCTCACAACCGTCTTCGCTCTCCATCTCCAAGCTCACCGTTGCCGCTACTCCACCCCCCGAGCCGAGCTCTTCACTTCCGAATTGGAGTTGTCATCTCTCCCGCTAATCCATTCGCTACCAAGTCCTGCGAATCCTCCTCCAGTTGCCCCTCGCCAGTTCTCTCAAACCCAGATAATCAGTATATATATAGTTCTCACTGCCGATTCAGTCCACCAAGCTCGTCCGTAGCCGACGAGCAAGGGTCTTCAGACGGCAGCCGGCGAACAAAAGAAGCTTAGCTCGCTCTCTCTCTCCCGATGACAAGCACTCGTCCTCGCCGTCGCCGCCCTAAACCATGTTGCTGCTTCTGTCGCCTGAAGTTTCCCACAATCGTCGACGGCACCACCACCACCATCACCCCATCATCATCGACCACCAACCACCAATCTCTCTATAAACTTTCTCTCTCTTCTGCAACACATCACCCACCACCAAAAAAGCCTTAACTTTTGGAACCACCACCCACCACCACCCACCACAACGCCCAACAGTTCCATCTACCCAATTGTCGGGATATAATTGTCTTTTAACTAATCTGATATTTTGAAATAAATGTTATTAAAAAAATAAGGGCGAAGTTGTCTTTTCACATGTTTTTAACGGAGGCTGTAACGGAAAATCAAAAATAGACCTAAGTGATAGTTATTTTCAAAAGATATTTTAGACTGATATTTGGCCAAACTACTGGGGGTGTCAGTGAAATTATCCCTTTTTTCTTTTTTCTTGATAAATTTTTGTGACTTTTACGGTTTGAGCAATAAAATTGTTTTCCTGCAAAAATCATTTTCATTTTTTTTTTTTTTTTTGGATGTAAATATTTTACTTGTTTATGTATGATTGTTCTAAAATATTTATTAAAAAAATAAATATTAAAATTTAATAAAAATAATTTATTTATTTATTTATTTTTGATAAATTATTTTATAAGCCTCCCGATGGACTACACAAACAAACCCCTTACGTTAATTCTATATTTAATGAAACTCATTTTGGTAAAGCTTTGGTCAGAGACATTTGAAAATTAAACACCCAAAATTTCAAAAGTTGAATTCTATAAGTAAATTCTTTTTGAAAATGTGACCTCACTTTTTTCTTAGTTTATCTTTTCATCTTTATTTCTATCGAGATTTTAAAGAATTATTTGATTTTGATTTTGATTTGTCATCTTAAACGAGTTATTTGATAATTTTTTAAATGTTTAGGATAGAAAAACATACCAAGAGTAACAAGAGTACCATTTTTTTTGTAAAATGATCAGGGCCGCTAGAGCATAAAAATAATAATTTCAACTTATACTCGTAGTATTTGGTGGTGGAAATTATTATTTTAATAAGAGAAAAAAAAAAATGCATTTTACATATATGTATATATATGGAAGTGCCAGTTTGAAGAAGTTGCAGTATATATATATATATTCAAATTCCACCCATATAAATATTGTTGCTTTTTGTCAAGTTACAATTTATCGGATTGATGAAATGACGAAAATGTCCACCACTTTTAATAAAATAAATAATTCTTAAAGGTTGAAATTACTTAAAAAGAAAAATCAAAATGATAATGATTTGGTTTCCCATTGTATAGCCTAAACATATCACTATTCTCACGCCCTCTCTCTGTCTTCATCTCTCTTCTGAACAAGTCTATCACACTAAATCCTCACTCTCATCGTCATTAAGGATGCATTTGGATTTGGAGGAATTTAGAAAGAAAAAAAATAAATCTGTGATTTTTTTTTTTAATTTGTCTAATCGTTAGATCCATATTTTATCGTATTCATATCTTGTATCCATGCTTCCAAGCAGATAACAAACATAAAATTTAATTTGATACAGAAAGAGAAAAGTTTAGCAATTTCTAATATTTCTTGGTTGTGAAGAAAGTTGTAAAAGAAGTGCATTGTGATAGGCCTTGGTTGCAAATATTTCACCAGTTCACGGGTTTTAAACATGACCTAAATTGCATGAAAACTCATTGTAGACACTAAGGATTCGTTTGGATTCGGAGGAGAGAAAAGAAAAGAGAGGATTAGAAGAGAAAAGAAAAGAAAAGAAAAGAAATGAAATGATAGCTATAATGTTTAGATAGATAGGAGAGAAAAGAAAGGAAAATATAATATTCTTGTTTAGATAAAACGGAGGAGAGAAAAAAAAGGAAAGGATAATAATGACATTACTGTATTACCCTTTTATATATTTTGATAAATAATTACTGGTTTTTTTTTTCTCTCCCTGCGTTTCATTGGAAACTAAAATTAATGATAACTAGAAAAACAAGATAACGTGATAGCATACTTGTTTTTTTTTTTTTTTTTGATAAGTAACTTGATAATATACATATAACTTAATAGCATACTTCGAAGATAGATAGATAAATATGAAGATTTTTATACCACATTTTCTCATCTCTTCATAAACTTTAGGGGTTTTTATTTTTATTTTTTGGATAATTAAAATAATACTAAATAATTAATACCAACTAAAAGTTAGTACATTCTTTATTAATAGACAATTTTACTATAAATCAATGTCTACACATAAGATATGCAATACATTGTTCAATTATGTATCACATGCTTCTTAACTTGGATAAAGGAGTGCTACATATATATGGTTCTTCTATACCTGTAACACCACAAATATGTAGCCACACCCCTAATTCCCTATGTTTAGATCAATGAGAGTTGTCCCTTACATAAGTAAACAAATTTTTTAAATCAAATTCAATTGGTCAAGACTCAAAACATGGTCCAATACTGCAATACCATAAGTAATACATACAAATATAACATATACAAACCTAATTACACAAATGGATATATACCAAGATTTAATCATAATCAGAATAATTTGAAGCTCCATTTGAGCAACTCAACAAATTCCTCATACATTTCAGTGGTGATTTGTAACGGGACAGTTTTATCTACAACAAATGACACATTTTCATCAAATCCTTGTAGTCATACAATCCCATCTAACTTTACAAAATTCCAACAAACAAACTAAAAGAAAATGTGATTTGATTAGAACAAGGAGTAATATATATAAGTAAAAAATCACTTCTCAAACACTTCTCAATTGAAGACAGAATAGCCTTAATTCACAAAAAGTAAAATTATAACAAAACGACTTCACAAATCACTTCTCAATTGAACACAATATAGCCTCAATTCACATCCAAGCTGCATTCACACGCCTAGTATAACATAGTACACCGACTTGATAAGCTGTGACTCTTACCATATATATATATATATATATATATATATGTATGGTGTTCTGGGATCAATAGACGACTTCGAGGAATGAGAGGTCGATGCCGTCGTTCGAGATGATGACGAGCGAGCCCAATTGCCTCCCCCCCAGGTCTCAGATCCCCGCCATCAACGCCGCTATGTCGAGCCCTAAATCTCAAATTTCAATTTGCTGACCGTGACGACTCCGACACGTCTTCATCGGCAAGATCACTTCATGGAGCTCGACTTTGGAGTTGACAACTTTGATGGCGCCCTGGGATCTCTCGATGTACGGCTTTGAGGAAGGAGAGGTCGATGCTATCGTTTAGAGTGGTGGGTGGTGGTGGCGGCGGCTTGAGGAAGGTTGAGTCGTCGTCAGCCAAACACCTATGTTCTTCTTCAAAAACGCCGACGATGAGGCCCTGATAGCAAGGCCCTCTGCACACGACGAAGAACTGGGCCACGGACAGCAAAGATCACAAAGCTGACGGCTAAGGGAGTACTCTGTTACTCCACAGATGAGGGCGAAGCCCACAAAAGCTACTGTTGACCACAAAATCAGATACGAGAGAAGAAGACTTAAGAAGCTGCTGCCCTAAATTGTATATAGAAATTGGAAGGTTAGTTCTGTCTTTATCATCCTTTCCCCTCAAATCCTCTCAAATCTTCTCAACTTTGAGAAGATTTGTTTTTATTGCGCTGAAGGGATTTAGAGGGATAGCCTATCCCTCCAAATCCTTCCCAATCATTTCTTTTCTCCTCAATTCCCTACACCCAAACACACTAAACTCTATCCTTCCCTTTCTTTTCTCTCCAAATCTCTCTAATTCCCTCAATCCAAACGAGGCCTAAAAAATTACGAAGTATCAAAGTATCATTTGGGCTACCTACTATAAAATATATAGGTCATTGGGTCAGGTCCAAGTTGTATAAAGCCCAAACTCTTTTAAAAGATGGATCAAAGAATAATTATCACAAATAAAAGAAATAATTGTCAAGGGTAAAACAAGTTTGCAAT